CCCCAAAACCCCAAAACCCCAAAACCCCAAAACCCCATTAATATATTCTTCATTGAATTACAAATCTTCAAAAATAACTTTAGGGGTATTATAACAGCTTTAGCCGATACAAGTTTGCATACCTACTGGCATCCATCCATCTTGACATCAGGTTTGCTACTTCCACGTTCTTTGGTATTGGACATAAGCCTCTTGTTGGCATTTTCAAGGGCTTTAACCTTGTCTCTGAAGGGATAAAAAATATCATACTTACTTTAAAGCAGCGACTTCTGTTTTATATTTAGTAATAATCCCATTTTGAAGCGTAAGCTGTTCCTTTTGGTTAGCAACCTTGGTCTTTAGCTTATCAGAAGCTTGATTGCTCACTTCAATTTCTTTCTCAACAAGCTGGTTGCCTTCCTTGACTTCGTACTTAAATCTCTTGTTTGGGCCTTCACTCTTAGGCTCGCTTGTTACTGCCTTATTGACATAAGTTCTGAGATCAACTAGGCTAGCAAGGAGGCAATGCAGTTCTGACTTCTGGAACTTGCCGATTTGGCTCTAAAATTTAGTAAAATTTAGAAATTTTGAAGTAAGCTCAAGTTAATTGGAGTTTACTGATTTTGGAACATTAGCCAGGCCCGCACAAAAAGAAAGGATGCGCTTAAGCATCTCTCCAGGATATATGCATGACCTTACATTCATATAATAGTAAGCATGAATGTGCAAGTAAGAGTATCTCTACTCATATTAGCATGAACACCATGGGTTAGAGCTTACCTGGTTTTGGAAGGGACCTATAAGATACGCCAATTCGGATTGATCTATTAGTGACAACCAAGGAGTGATGAAAGGGTTCTTAACCGGAGCAGAGCTCAAGCATGACTTTGTAAGTAAGTTTAGCCTCTTTTGGATAGTCCTTAAGGCCTTTGGGCCTTCCTTATTGGTATCAATCTTTTGAGTTGTCTGAGATGCAACAGAGATTTGTGACTTAATAGGGATTGGAGCTGAAACTGAGCTTTGGACTCACTCTACTGGCTTTTTAAGTGGTTTTGAGAGTTTAGAATAGCAAGATAAGTTAGGGGACTTGGGTTTGGGTGAAAGAGCTAGTTGGGTCTGAGCTGGATGAGATATCAGAGAATCTAATTCCTTTGGCTTTGCTCTTATGTTTTCATCAACTGCTTCATTTTGAGTAGGGATGAAGATCTACAATACAAGGTGAACCCAAGGTTTAAATCATTGCTGGCTTGCTTCTCTCCCATCATACCACAAGTCGAGTTTAATGTCTTACCTTATTGCTACTGATAATTGTTCAGTTAGTTTTCATTTAATTAATCAATTTATGATAGCTAAAAGGGGTTTTGGGGTTTTGGGGTTTTGGGGAGAT